TCCACCCCTGGTGCTCCTGGTGCTCCTGGCTCCTCCACCCCTGGTGCTCCTGGCGCTCCTGGCTCTTCTACCCCTGGCGCTCCTGGCGCTCCTGGCTCTTCCACCCCTGCTAGCCCTGCCGCTCCTGAGGGTTCCAGCCCTGTTGCTCCTGGCGCTCCTGGCTCCTCCAACCCTGTCATTCCTGCCGCTCCTGAGGGCTCCAGCCCTGCTGCTCCTGAGGGCTCCAGCCCTGCTGCTCCTGAGGGTTCGAGCCCTGTTGCTCCTGCTGGCACCTCGACTGCCGAGCAGCCCACCGGCGCCTCCCCAGCGGAGCCTTCGGCCTCGAGCCTTACCGGCGCTGCTTCCAAGATGCAGCCCGTGGCCGGTCTTCTCGCCGCTGTCATGGGTCTGATGGCCCTTCTGTAGATGACACCTCCATCTTCAGCAATGAATTGATAGAGCCACTCATCTTCCCCTCTGACCAAACGAAGAAACTATCAAATCAAAACAATCGGTGCTTGGAGTTTGTTTTGGACTTTTGCTACATCGTTGGCTTTTTTTTTCCTACGTCATGAAGAAAGAAGGACTGTTCTATGATTATGATTCAGGACTACGACTTAAGACACAGCCAGGCGCACTCGGGTGAGCGACAAGATACACTGTGCTCAGCTCCTGGTTGATATTCATTGGCAGTTCTTTCTACCTACTAGTTTAATAATATATAATGAGTACGGTACGTGGAATAAAAATGGCATTTCTCTTTTTTTATTGGAATCACTTTTCAAGCCTGCACTCTCTCTTTCACGTAGCTTCGATGCATTTCTTGCTGGCTCAATTTCTTTCTCTTGTCTTCCTACTATCATAGTCAGAACCTGTCACATCGCCACTGCCGCGAGTGCGTAATCATATATCCCGGAAACGGAAGGGGTTGCATCTTACGTAGTCTTTTACCCAACCCAGTACAACCACCTCGGAGACAATAGGGGGAGGGGGGGGGGTTTCGTCTGTGGGTCCTACGAGTAGATACTATGAGTATGAGTACTGAGTAGTTGAAGAATCAAATGCAACCCAATGATATCAGGCCGACAAAATCAAAACTCCACGATAGGGAACGATCAGCATATTCAAGCAGCGTGCATGAGTCCCATAGTTAGATCCCATGACAATCCCTGACGTGGTGATGCCGTTACCATCCCTCACCCTATGACTCGCATGTGTATGTATCAGGGAGTAGACCTCTGCCCACCCTTCTGCATCGTCCTTATATTCCCCAAATGCTAGTCGAGATACTGCATATTTAGAAAAAGTCAAACGGCCCAAGCTGGTCGCACGCAAACCCGTTACACCACCATTGTGAAAACAAAGTGACATAGAGATAGGTCTCAAGGCTTAGCCCTAGTTTCGGATTGGCAAAGGATTAGGTTAGGGCTGCTGGAAAAACCACCCACCTAGATACATAGTACAACAAACATACTCGTCACGATTTGTAAGGTTTCCCATGGGGTGTTTTTCATGGGACCCTCTTATAACTGGTGGCAACCGACTTGGAACTATCAGGCACTAGTTGGTCTTTTTGGAAGGGGAATAGTTGCTACTATCCCGCGACTGGGATGGTATCTTAACACATATTCGGCCTTGGTCTACTGTGTATGATTGAGATTCAAGCGGTTGAGTACTAGTCAAGATTATATAGATCTCAGCAAAGAAGCTAGGGTAGAATTGGCCACGAGCGATATAGATGTATAGAGATGTATAGAAGGGGCGATACTTACCTTAGTAGGAGAATGTTACGTTTACTGTGGAGACTGGAGAACTGGCCGAGTAATTCGACCCTCTACTTTACTGATAAGGGTAGAAGGTGTATTAATATTAGACTGGCGGAGGGAAAGGTAGAATGGTGGTGGAGAATGAGAAAAGGAAGAAGAGAAGAAGTTAGAGGAAGGATGTTAGGAGTATACTCAGGTAGCTATAAGAGAATTTGGGGAGAAAGGAGGAAGGAAGAAGAAGAGGAAGAGAACAGAGAAGACAAGTTAAGGGGATAGATTATACAAATCATAGTAGATCTGAGAGATGGTAGAATTCTGCCACTAGTAATAGTAGAGGCAGAGGTGTGTAAAGTACTGAGTAGGGTAGGAGATCTAATAATCGGATGAAATGGCAAGTAGGGTTGCTATTTAGTAGCACTATTCCCTAGGAGGGTATAGTATAAAGTAGCTGTGAATGGAGATAGGGTATGAATAGTAACTAAAGTATCAGCCAAGTATGGTTTCGTTTCAAGTAGATGTGAAGAGGACTATTCCGTAACTGGGTATTATAGGATGTATATGCAGTGTACGTAGGGTATTCATAGAGAAGAAGACAGATATCAGTACTAGATTATCTAGTTGGGTGGTCAGGTGCACTGTTACTTCTAGCAGCGGTCTAAAATATATGTTAGCAGAAAGAGAGTAGTAGAACTAAGGTTATAGAGACATTGAGGCGAAGGATAGCACAAAATTAACCAAGGTAGAAGAGTAAACCATTCTTATCAGTGTATAATCGTTTGATATATGTGTGGATAGTCTCCTATCCACCCGCCCATTATACAGTGCGAATAGTACCCAAGGGAAGGAATGGTCGAGGAGTAGGATGCCCAAAATTGAGGCAGAATTCATGTCATATCTTTCGATGTAGCTTTTATGATATCACAGTAGAGGCAAGAAAAAGCCTAATAGAAAACTTATCGTCATGAACATATATAGGATCGATGATGCGGAAGGGGGAAATATGACACTGGAAGTAAATGGTCTTAAGATGCAAACACAGAGATCTTTCTTTTTAGTTGTCTATGACACAAGCAAGCCACATCTACCGCTTACCCTCCAACTCCTGCTCGACCTCGGCCTTGACGATCTCGCGGACCTGCTCCCATCCGGCCCCGGGGCCGACGGGCGTGACGCGGCTCTCGCGCTGCTCCAAGCCGATGAACTCCTGGGGCAGGACCTCGGTGAAGTCGTAGCCGTCCTCGGCGCGCAGGGCGAGGTCGACGGCGCTGGCGAACTTGGCCGGGTGGGCGGTGGAGAGGGAGATGTGGACGGCGCCGGGGTTGCGCTGGATGGAGCGGCGGGCGGCGGCGACGCCGATGGCGGAGTGGGGGTCGAGGATGTAGCCGCCGGTCTTGGAGCTCTTGGCGCTGCCGGGGCCCAGGTTGGCCGGGAAGGAGGTGCGGTAGGTGTCGCGGATCTGGGCGATGGTCTCGTCGTTGCTGACGCGCTCGGACTCGAACTCGGCCTGGGCGCCCGCGAAGACGGCGGGCGAGACCTGGAAGCCGCCCTCGGACTTGAGCTGCTGGAGCCAGCCGCTGACGCTGTCGCAAGCCTGCTTGCGGCGCGCGTCGGCCGAGGCGGCGTCGCTGCTCTGGTAGGCGAGGAACCAGAGGAGGCGCTCGAAGTTGCTGCTGACCAGGATGTCCATGGCCGGGCTGTGGGTCTCCTTGACGCCGGTGCCGTTGGCGTCGTTCTTGGTGTAGGCACCGCTGCTGCGGAAGAAGCGGTCCAGGATGTCATTCTCGTTGGTCGCGATGACCAGGCGCTCCGCGGGGAGACCCATGCGCTTGGCGAACCAGCCGGCGAGGATGTCGCCGAAGTTGCCGGAGGGGACCACGAAGCGCAGCTTGGAGTCCTTGTTGAAGGAGGGGGACTTGGTGAAAGACAGGTAGGAGTAGAAGTAGTAGGAGATCTGGGCGAGAATGCGGGCGAAGTTGATGGAGTTCACGGCCGCGAGGTTGTGGGTGGAGTTGAGCTCGGGGTCGGCGAACAGGGCCTTGACGAAGTCCTGGCAGTCGTCGAAGGAGCCCTCGACAGTGAGGTTGTGCACGTTGGCGTCCAGCACGGTGGTCATCTGGGCCTGCTGGATCGGGGAGACCTTGCCCTTGGGGAACATGATGAAGATGGAGACGTCCTTCTTGCCGCGCAGACCGTAAATGGCGGCGGAGCCGGTGTCGCCGCTGGTGGCTCCCACGACAGTCAGGTGGTGACGGTCCTTGCCCTCCTTGCCCTGGTTCTTGCGCACGAGGAAGTACTCGAACAGGTTACCGAGGAACTGAAGCGCGACATCCTTGAAAGCGAAGGTGGGACCGTGGAAGAGCTCGAGCAGGTGGAGGTTCTGCCTGCCGTCGAGTTTGATGGTGGGAGTGCGTTCGGGGTGACGGAAGGTGGCGTAGGAGCGGCGGATGATGTCTTCGAGGTCGTTGCGGGGGATTTCGGACTCGGAGATGTAGAGAGACATGATACGGAAGGCGATCTCCTCGAAGCTCAGATTGCGCCATTCGGACTCCCAGTTAGCGGGGAGGGAGGGGATCTCCTCGGGGATGAAGAGACCGCCATCAGAGGCCAGACCCTTCAGGACGACCTCCTCGAAGGAGAGCTAAATGCAAGATCAGGACAGATTAGCCATTGAATCGAAAATTGCTGTTTGTGGGGATTTGTTGCCATACTCCGTAGGAGGCACCCCGCGTGCTCAAATATTTTTGCGACAGAGTATGCGACATGATGATTGGAGATATGATGGGGGAGAAAAGAAAGGAGATAGAACAAAGAAGACACTCAATTGCGAGTCAGAGCCTCTTCTGACAAGAATCCCAGCGACAAAACAGAGGAATATGAAGAGAGCGAGAGTGAGAGTGAGGGAGAGTGAGGGGGGCGAAGACAAGAGGCGATGATTCACTCGCCCAAAGAAGAAATTCGGAGGGGTTGCCTGCTGCTTTGGGATTAGTGGCTCCGATGGCGGAGACGATCACGTGGCGTGTCTATTGGAGTATGTAAATTGCAAGCCTGCCGCAGCCAAGACCCGGGCTACTACGAGTGCGTACTAGACTGGCTCTCTATCAAACCTGCAGGTTCATCTATGGGTAAACATCTCACTACTACTAGTAATACATTATACAGTCTAAACATTCGTCATAACTCATCACCAAGCCCGGTCCGTCTAGTGCTCCTCATTAACCAACACGTAGCGGTACCTGGCCTTGCCAGCATGCATGTTGACAATGGCCTCATTGGCATTCTTCATCGGGACCTCCTCGATCCAAGGCTTGACGCCCTTGTTCAGAACCAGCTGGAACATCTCGCGGATCTCATCAGGGCTGCCGACCAACGAGCTAGTCACCTTCAGCCGACGGATGAGAGGCTTAACGGGCGCCACCAGGGTGCCATCCTCCGGCAAACCGACCTGGCACAGAGTACCATTGACCGCCAGCAGACCGACGTACTGTTCCATGGGCATCTGTACACGACGAGCATTAGTAAATTACCCTTTTTCCACACACACATCCAAACCCGATAGGGAATAAAGATCTGGGAAGATACCTTCGTGGATGAAACAGTGGAGATGATCAAATCCAACGACTTGGCGTACTTGGTGGCCCAATCGGGCTCATCATCCGTAGCGATGTACAGATCCGCGCCCATCTTCAAGGCATCCGCCGCCTTGCCCGCCTTGCGCGAAATAGCGACGACCTTGTCGGCGCCCATCGCCTTGGCGAACATGACACCGAAGTGGCCCAGGCCACCGACACCGATGATCCCGACGCGCTTGCCGGGGCCGCAGCCGTTGTGCTTCAGCGGGCTGTAGAGGGTGACACCGCCGCACAGCATGGGGGCGGCCTCGGCGGAGGGGATGCCGTCGGGGATCTTGATGGCGAATCGGGCGGGGACGCGGTTGTACAGCGCATAGCCGCCGTAGGACTTGCCGCCGTTGAGGTGGACGCTGTTGTAGGTGCCCACCCACTTGTGGGGGCAGTACTGCTCCCAGCCCATGGCGCACTCGGCGCAGTCGCCGAGACGGCCCTGGCAGGAATCGCTCTGCGCGCCGACACCGACGCGGTCCCCGAGCTTGATGTCGCTGACCTGGGAGCCGACGCGGACGACGACACCGACGATCTCATGGCCGACACAGCAGGGGTAGAGGGTTGGCTTCTGTTGTTTGGCGGATCAGTATATACGGGACATGGTAGCTAAAGAATCACAATTGACGCAGAAGAAAAAGAACAACGATAGAAAGACCAGGGGAAGGACTTACCCATCCACTGTGCAGAGTGTGAAGATCGGAACCACAGATACCGCAATGAGAGACCTTGATGTCGACATCGGTCTCTTCCCACGGCTTGGGTTCAAACTCCTGCCAGACCATCTTGCCGTCGACCGAGTCCTTGTCGAGGCCCATCCATCCTTCGAACTTGTAGTCAGTCATGATGAAAGTCTGGTGTCAATTCCAAGAACCGGTTCCTTAATGGGCGTGTAAAAGGCCTCGAGGGAAGACCGAGAGGATATCCCCTCCAACTTATATGCGTTATCGCCCGAGAACAAAGCCATCGCGGGTTCCATTTCCTTGATCGATCCACTTTTCGACACGAATTTCCGAGTTGGGGGAAGTTTTCCTGTGAAGTCAACTCAAACCCTGAGAAGATCCACTGGGACGGAAAAGCCAAGAAGGAGGCCGAAGGAAAGAAGCATGGAGACTGAAAGAGAGCCAAATCCATGGGCTTTGCACGGGCGATGGGGCAACAAGAAGCTACTCATCTCATTGACTGGCTCCAGCGGAGTCTTTGCCCTATGGGTCGCTCGCCAAATGCTTAGAAATCTGCAGAAACAGTACCTGATACGGGTAAAAAAGCGTTTGGAAATCGGGGATGCTGCTTCGGATAGAAAGCCGATTGACGATTCTCGGGATCGGAAGAGGATTTTCATTGAGGAAGTTTCATGGCACGCTTTCGTGGTCTGGTGTTTGAATCACAATCGAGATACTCGTAGTTTCGCCTGATGCTTTGATCCCGTACCCATCGCGGGATTCGACACGGTCTCTGACGCAAGGAAATCACTCAATGGCGTTCGAGGACTCCAACTGCTTTTTCTCCAACTTGATTGATGCTGGCTCCATCGCCATTAGTCAAGCAGGACCACTGGATCCACTGCGGCAGCCCGAGAAGACGAGAGAAAGTGGAAATCAAAATGGAGGGAGCGGAAAAAGCGGATCGCTCTTATCGTCCGCCAACTGGTCTACCAACCACCAACACAACCAGAAAAGCAATGATAAGTGATAGTAACCTGCACTTGGAAGCTAGATTTAATATGATTCAACTTTTGGATATTCTACACAGCAGCTCTATCACTTATTTCCCCCATACTGAGGCAGTTCATCCATGACCGTCTGCACATCCTTATCACCGCGACCACTCAAGCAGAGCACGATATCCTTCCCAGGTCCAAGCTGGCGAGCCACCTGCATCACGCCCCAGACAGCATGCGAGGACTCCAGCGCCGGGATGATCCCCTCGAGTTGACTGAGCAGCTGGAATCCTTCGAGCGCCTGCGCATCCGTGGCCGCAATGAAGGTCGCGCGATTGCTATCCTTCCACGACGCCAGCTCCGGTCCGACGCCCGGGTAGTCGAGGCCAGCGGAGACGGAATGCGTGTCCGTGATCTGCCCATGGCGGTCCTGGAGGACATATGTGCGCACGCCATGCAGGACCCCGACGCTGCCGCCGCCGAGAGTCGCCGAGTGCTTCGCCTGACCATCGCCGCCGGCCTCCACGCCCACCAGCTGCACCGAACCATCCTCGACGAACGGGTAGAACATGCCCACGGCATTTGATCCACCGCCCACACAGGCCACCACCGCGTCGGGCAATTTCCCGATCTCCTGCTGCAGCTGCGCCTTGGTCTCGGTCCCGATCACGGATTGGAAGGTCCGCACGATCGTCGGGAATGGATGCGGCCCGATGGCGGACCCGATAATATAATGTGTCGTGTCCAGCCGCGTGATCCAGGCCCGGAACGCCTCGTTGACGGCGTCCCGGAGGGTGCGCGAGCCTGCCTCGACCGGCACCACGGTGGCGCCCAGCAGGCGCATGCGGAAGACATTCAACGCCTGCCGACGGACATCCTCCGCGCCCATGTAGACGGTACATTTCATGCCGAACTTCGCGCAGACCGTCGCCGTGGCCACGCCGTGTTGGCCCGCCCCGGTCTCGGCGATGATCTCGGTCTTGCCCAGTCGCCGCGCGATCAGGATCTGGCCCAGGGCGTTGTTGATCTTGTGAGAACCCGTGTGATTCAGATCCTCGCGCTTGAGCCAGATATTCGCGCCGCCCGCGGACTCGGTCAAGCGCGTCGCGCGGTGTAGCGTCGACGGCCGACCCATGTAAGGGTAATAAGAGCGATACTCTTCCCAAAAGGCCGGATCATCCAGCGCAGCCTGGAAGCCGGCCTCCAGTTCGTTGAGACACGTCGTCAGCGCCTCCGGGACGTATTGTCCACCAAATTTGCCGAAGCGGCCACGTTCGGACGCTGGACCAACTTCATTTGCGGCTGGTGACTGTGTAGGCTCTTTCTCCTTCGAAGCAGAAACAGCGGCTGTCGACAGGCTAGAGGATGGCTCATCTGCTGCTGTGCGAGGGACTCGTCGGCCCGTGATCTGTGCGCAATACTCCTCAATCGTGCGAGCTCCCTGTCCAGCAGGGGCATTCGCCAGCTGATTGATGATCTCGCTACCAATTACCGCGCCATCGGCGACGGAGGTCACGCCCAGAAAATGCTCACGGGTGCTGATGCCAAAGCCGACGGCCACCGGGACTCCACCAGAGAGATCCTTGACCCGCTTCATCAAGTCGGGAAGCTGGTTGTTCAGAGTACCAGTGGCTCCAGTGACGCCCATGCGGGACACCAGATAGATCCATGTGTCGGCAATCCCGCAAAGCGTCTTCATACGGTCTTCAGTCGTGGACGGGGCAATCAAGGGAACGTATGAGAGGCTATAAGATGACCACGACAGGCGTTAGCGGTACTGTACCCCATTGTCTAGCAACCGGAATGGTAGTAGGCAGCTTACCCGGCATCCCGACATTGGTCGCGGAATCGAACAGCTTCCTCCGGCGGTAGATCAACTATAATGAAACCATTCACGCCGGCTTCTCTGCATTCTGCAAGCAGGGCGGTTTCACCAAAGCGCAGAACCGGGTTATAGTATCCCATGAAGAGGACGGGGATGCGCAGGCCCTGCTGGCGTGCATCTTTCACCATTTGCAACATGGAAGTAATTGTAACCCCATTTTCGAGGGCTTTAAGGTTTGATTTTTGGATGGTAGGTCCATCGGCAATGGGGTCTGTGAATGGAAGGCCGAGTTCAATGACATCTAGGGTAAAAAAAAAAAAGGATCAATACTCCGTCGCATCAATTGCTATACGTACTGATGGCAACTCACCTGCGCCTCCAGCTTGCATGGCCAGCATGATATCTGGGGTTTCCGCGGCTGTCGGAAAGCCGGCAGTGACATAGGTCACCAGGGCCGGACGGCCCTCTTTTTGGCATTGAGCAAAGGTTCTTTTGAGATGCTCCATCTTGCTATGCCTGGAATGTTTGCAGAATATGAAAAAAAGCGTAACAAAGTCGGGAGGAGTGAGGGGAGAAGTGGCGTGGACTGGGGGACTTTATGGATCTTTCGCTGTGACTCACGCCGTCAGTAAGATGGCTCCACTAATGGCATGCCTGGCGGATTAGTCCGATTTCAATCATCTGTGCATTCCAGATTAAGAATCTACCCGGTTCTTCTGTCAGATATAAACATCGTCGCAGTGTGGACCTTTTTTTTCCCTAGGAATTGAAGTATAATAATAAGGCTGGTTCTCAAATAATTGACAAGCCCACGGCTCGTTCGCCCCAGTGGACATCCCGAGATCGCCACAAAAGTGAGACAGGCTAAAGACTAAAACAGGCGTGTAATAGCCGGTTGGAAGAGTTGTAAGAGCTCAGAGGAAACGACCAGAGCAATTATGCTCAGAGCCTCAGGTGAATGGGATATACAGATAAGTTGGGACATGAAGTCACCGACGAAACGAAGCAAGGGGGGGGGGGGAAGTACAAACATGAAGAGTAAATATTTGGATCATTCAGCTTGGTCGCGCCAAGATAGAAGGACGAGAGATTCTATGTGAAAATGCCTGGATTGCGAATTATGTGTGCTTTTGTCAAGCGCTTGCCTCCTTGATCTCCTTCCCTCCCAGACCCGCGGCGATGTTCACCATCGGAAAGCCATAGCCCTGCTTTCTTAGAATAACGACATAATATCTTCGTTGGTTTTCTTTGGTTGACTGCCTCCAGGAGGCGGCGATGTCGTGCCATTGCCTGACAAATCCAGGCCGGCAAAACCGTTCATCAAATCGGCTCCAGCCCCCGCGCTGCTGCTGGCCGGGGCCGGTGCGCCTCCACCATCGCCGAAGACCCCCAAGAGATCGTCCAAATTGTTGCTTCCAGCAGGAGCACCTGCAGCAGGCGATTCCACTCGCACTGGCGTTCCGGCAAGACCTTCGAGACCAGACATTCCACCACTGGGCTCTTTTTGAGCCGAAGCCGGCGCAGTTCCATCGAAATCGATGTCCAGTAGATTCTCGACGTTGCTCTGACTCTGGGGAGGGGGCGCGCTGCCAGTGACCGCGGCTGCAGCCGCAGCAGCGGCCAGTGGGTTCTCGCGTGCGTTTTGAATTTGTTCCCTGAAGCCAGTGGTTAGCCCGACGTAGACATGAATGAATGAAATGGGTTGAGACATACTCGATAGCGGCTCTCTGGACAGCGTCGGCGCCGAACCTTCCTTGACCGACAAACTGCTCTGGGGGCTTGTGGTAGACTGATGCAAGAGTCGACAGCTCAGTGAGCAGCTGCTCAAGAAGGGCAGGCGGCAGAGAATGAATAGTGGTCACAATTGGAGGCTTGTCAGACAGGACAATATCCTTAGTAGCTCCGGGATCACTGGTATTGGATAGTAAGCGCCAGTAGACATAGGCTCGGTCGCGCACATCGGGATTGTCGTTCTCAGCAGTGGCTGCCTGCAGCACTTTCTGGACGAGCCCTTGGGCCTTCTCAGGCCGCTTCAAGAAGAGCTTGACAACAGCCGTCAGGATTTGCAGCTGGGTCTAAACAGGTCGCGGTAATCAGTATACAGCATTTGTCTTGTCATAAGGGAGTGCCATACCTGGGAGAATTCTTCATTGAAACCTTCCACAAAGCCAGCCAGAATGTCACCCGCATTGCTGATCTTCTCCGCATACTGACCAACAATCCAAATGAGTGCTGCACGAGCATTCGGCTCATCTAGCTCATCAATACACTTGCACAGTGTAGGGATGATACCCTCATAGCCGGGGTACTTCCGGAAAATATCTTTGATAACCACAATAGCTTCTTGCACCACGTAGTTGACCTTGGTGTTGATGAGGTCCAGCAACGTGTTGACGCACTTCTCACTAGCGCCCTCGATTTTGATCGCAACCTGACCAATCGCCCGGACGGCGCGGCGCACAAAGTCCATGTCCACCTCAAGTGCGTACTCCTTGAGCTCGGCTAAGAGCTGGTCAACGTTTCGGTCGTTGGCTATCCGTACCATGATCTCAAGTTTCTGGAACTTGACGTATGGTGGGTCGTTATACTTGCAGAAGAAGACGCGGAGTTCCTTGTTCAGGATGTCTGGCTGCTTTTGCAACAAAAGATCGATGTTTCTCAAAGCCACATACTGCACCTCGGGAGCAGACGAAACCAGAGTCACTTGACATCATCAGAAAACGGAAAGAATTTTACCCGGGCAAAGCATTCTTACCTAGGGGAGGGGCCATTTTCTTCAGGTAATTGCTAGCCAGCTCAGCCTTGACGTTTCTCATGTGGAGGAAAACGACTTTGACGGCAGCTAGCACAACACTCGGGTTGGCATGCTGGAACTGAGGAGCAACGCGCTCACAGATGTGCTCTGACTCAGTCACTTCACTCGTTTTGTACTCCGCAAGAGTCGTCAAGATCGTGACGCGACCCCATTCCGTGCACTCATTCAGGGCCATAAGAAGCTTGCGCAGTGTGTTGGTGGTCACCTTCAAGGCCTGTGTTTCGGGAGCAGCGTGGTAGATTTCCGACAAAGCAGTCACCGAGTTGGCGACGACCATAGGATTGGGATCTCCAATCATCTCCTGCAACATCTCCAGAAAGCCGTTCTCCAAGCACATAGCAGGATTCAGATCGAAAAGTTTGGCAACGCAGATGGCCGCGGTCTTGCGGACATAGGGCGACTCGTCCCGGAGGGTCTTCCGCAGCGGTTCCTCCATGTAATCCACCATTTTATCCACCCGGATGCATCCCATCGTTCGAATGGCAAGGGCTCTGATTAAAGGATTGGGATCTTCGGAATCTTGAACAAAAGTATTGACGGCGAGAATGCATAGGTCGGGGTGAGATTTGGCGTAGTTCCTGTCGGCCGCGAAAGACAATCAGCGTCAAGCTCGAATAACCAAGCGATGCTAAGGAAACCCACATGAGGTAAAGATAAACCAGCTTCTTTTGTTCAAGATCGCTAGTCGCAATGTTCTTGAGAACATCCGGGAATAGAGAGGAAACATCCTTGCCCAGCGTCATGGCCATGATGGTCTTCTGAATTGACTCCTTGCTAAGGGTGTATTAGATTGATTGCGCCGACCAAATTATGCTGCCATTTATCTGCAAGAGGATATGCGTGTGACGTACCGTTCGTATGCATACTGGGACCTGAAGGTTAACGAGCGTCAGTATCGATTCATCGGCTTGGACAGGACAGATAGATAGCATACACAAGACCAGATCGCAATTCAAAAGTCTCTCCTTTCCTGGGGACCGCAAAGGCCCCCCGAATCCTACTCATCGCCATTGTGCCAAGAAATGTCTAGCGACGACCTAGTCGCGCCTCCGCTGGTGGAAGTTGAAGTCGGAGGAGGGAATGCAGGAGACTGCGGGGAATTGCGAGAGCTTTCAGGGTGAGCCGCAGACGGGAGAATTAGAGCGGGGAAGCGAGAGCTCTCACACACACTCTTTCTCCTCCGTGCCGAAATGACAGGAGGGAACAGAAGTATAAATGAAAATATGTTCAGTGCAAAGAAGGGAACGAAGAGAGTGAGAGTGGGAAGAATGGAGGGAGGAGAGAAGAAGTCAAGGTAGTAGGTTGATGATCAGGAGGGAGAGGGACGGAGGGAGCCCAGTGTCCCCATCATGGACCACAGCCAATCCGCACAACGCGGCGCCCGACTAAGCGCAACCATCAACCATGGGCACCTTAATTCCTTTCCCCGGCGGTCTGGACTGCCTCGTACTTCCTACCCCGTACATATCACTTCTTATGATCCCATTAAAAAAGGATTCCTCTTCCAAGTTCAGTCTGTTTGCTGCCATATCCATTGCAGCATACGAAACCCATGGTAGGTTACTATAACCACTACATAAAATACCGTCAATGCGCAATTACGACAACATCGCTTAACTTTCTTTACCAAAACCAGGCGAATCTCCCTAATCTCCGACGCCTGTTCGTCGAGGCCCGCACCGAGGCCGAAGAGAACGAGCACTCCAGAACTGCGGTATGCATTCCTCGAGCGCTCTCAATGCCAATAAAAAGGATCGGAACTTCAGACTCATGGATTCTTTATACAGTTCTACAATCTTGTCCTCTTTATCTCTTCGGTCGCTGTCTTCAGCTTGGTGGCTCAACGAATGGGCGGAACGAAGTCGGGAAAATGAACAATGAACGCAACGGAAATGCCAGTGGTATCTCATACAGCTCATACTCTTAGACACCTTGATAATCCAGAGCCTGCCCTGGAAAAAGTCGCTTGCACAAGGTAGCAACATCCATGCAACACCATCAGTCTGTCTCCTCACCATCCTCACCTTCCAAGAAGGCTAGACCTCGACGTCCCCGGTTCAATCTCCGTCTAGGTCGACTGTCCTCACTATCGTCGCTCCCAGCCTCCTTCCCCCATCGCTTTGCCCCTTCTTGCACCAGCTCGAGGTCGGCTTTGAGCTCCCGCTCCTCACGGATGCGGTTCGCTTTCTCCACCGAGTAACGCCCTTCCATGCCAGCCTCCTTCAACATATCCTTGAGGTGTTTGATCTTGGCTTTGGGAGTGCCGAAAGGAGCCAGCTCCCTCGCCCACATCTTGCGGATCCCGCATTTAATCAGCCAGCCCTGCAGCCGTTTGATCTCCGCTTGATTGGCATCCTGATCCGCATCTTTGCCCTTGGCCGGCGCCGCTTTCTTTCCTTTTCGCGAGGATGTCTCGGCGCTCTTCTGTCGCTTGCGAACGGGTTTCGGCTCTTCATCAAGAACTACCGACATCTCACTTTCGGAGCCGACTTTATCTTCTGATTGATCTTCTTTCCCGTTGGCGGCGTCAGCAGAGTCATCAGAGGCGGACTCTTCGCTAGGCTTGGTCTTGTTCTTGGTGGCGGTCTTTGTTTGCCTTTTCGTGGAAGGCTTTACTTCATCTTCATGATCCTCGTCCTCAATATTGGAACTTTCACCTTCATCTGCGTCCGAAGGACTGGTTTTCTGGCGTTTGCGCGATGCGGCGGTGCCAGTCGATTTCGTTCTCTTGGCGGGCTTCGTGTCTTCTGAGGACAGTGAGGACAGCGAGGACAGTTCACTTTCAGAGTCGCTATCGTTCTTTTCTGGGGCCGATCTTTCGGCGGCTTTCTCTTCGACCTCCTATGCAGAAATTGAGACATTAGAGCGCGATTCTAAACACAACAAACAGAGAAGGAAGTGCAATGGCGTCATAATTTGAGAGACACGGAGAGACCAACCACTTGATCGCGAATGACCTCTTCACTTCTAGCTTTCCAGTCGCCTTGTGTCTTGAAGAATCCCGCGTCGAGCTTAAGCGCCTTTTCTGCCGCGAGGCGTACCCGCTTGACGGTCAATTCCTCTAAATTGCCCGATTTGTAGATATCGGCGACGGTGTCGCGTAAAGCTTGTTCCAGCGCGTCATCGGACGGAATGTCTGGACGGCCGGCTGCCGACTCGGGCTCGGACTCAGACTCCGACAGCGCGTAATTTGGGGCCATCGTTGCGCTTTGTATGTCTCGACTTTACCCCGAGTTAAATGCCCGACGTCGGGTGTGTGTAGATGTCCGCTGCGTGTGGGGGGGGGATGGAACGGCGGGAAGTGGCCGCGCGCCAGGCGGACGCGATGAGAGGCAGAATACAACCGCCGCAAGTAGATCAGGAAGCGAGAAGATCGACAGTTGTGTCAGGGCTAGAATGAAACAAGCTTAACGGGAGGTCGATTGAACGATTGTCAAGGAGAGACACCTGAACCAGCTTGCATCTAGAACCCCTGCCTCACGGAGCTTGCTCGGTTGGCTTCGGTCGGAGAGTTTAGTTTCCCAATTGCACCGCGCGACCGCTGACAAAGCCGCTTATCGGGGATTGGCGGTCTTCGATAAAGTCGGAGATCGAGGGCACTATTACGATTATTACCAATCAGCGAGATTCTCTCGCCGGATCTTCAACTATACCTTAACTTTCTTTTCTTTTCTGTATAGACTCTGATTCCTTGATTTTGGTTCGTGCACACTCTGTTTCTGATTGATTATGCATCTTTTGTAACATAGCAATTCCATCATCTTGCAGTCCCTACTCCCTCTCACCACCACATAAACCTCCCCACCGGCATCATGTCCGAAACCCACCCCGACGCAACAGAGACAGCGCCGCAATCAACGCCGCAAAAGAAGCTCTTCACGCATCAGTTCCAATTCCCCGCAGCCACAGCAGCCACAGCCACAGCCAGCTCCTCCTCCTCGTCGGCATCGTCATCCCAACCAAAGGATACCAGCAACAAGGACGAACACGTACCCCCGGGGTACACCAAGCTCCCGAATGGAGTCATCCTCGACAAAGAAGGCAAACCGTATGTCCAGCGCAGCGCATCCAACCATCAGAAGCACCCCCCTATTTCACTTTGCCCCCCAACCTCCTCAAACCCCTCAAACCATACACACACTTCCTCCTCCTCCAAATACTAACACCCAAAAAAAGATGTCGCCTCTGCACCTCCGCCGCCTCCTGGCGCGCCCTAACCCAAAAAGCCAAAGCCACTGCCACACCCGCACCCACACCATCCACCATTCCCTCAAACCCCACCTCCCAAAAATACAACCAATGCCCCCCAGACGTCGAGGAACTAGGCCGCTCCACCTGGACCTTCCTGCACTCGCTGACGGCCTCGTACCCGGCGCAGGCGTCGCCGGAGCAGCAGACGGAGATGCGCACGTTCCTGGGCATCTTCTCGCGGCTGTACCCGTGCTGGGTGTGCGCGGACGATTTCCGCACCTGGATGGCCGAGCCCAGCGGGCAGAACGCGCCGCGGCTGGCCGGCCGCAAAGAGTTCGGGGACTGGATGTGCCGGGCGCACAACGAGGTGAATCGGAAGCTGGGCAAGGATGAGTTCGATTGTCGGTTCTGGGAGGAGAGGTGGCGCACGGGGTGGAAGGATGGGCGGTGTGATTGAGTACTGGATAAACCTTGGGGAAGAGGGGAGGGGGCTGGTTGTCGGGGAGGTGTTCTTTACTTGGTAGTTGCTTGTTGGATTTACGGCAGTCAGGGTGGGATGTGTAAATCTTGGGATATGTGAATAGCGCTGTAAGTGCTGGGGCTGTTTTTGTATACTATTTTTCTTCTTCGCATAGCACAGGAAGGCCTCGGTTCTCTACTCTTGTCTTCTGAAGTGGAGTTGGGAGGATTTAAATGTGATTATCATCTTGCCTCGTTCTCATCTTTCTTTTTTTCACACCACGGTAGGGAACTACGGAACGTTCCCCAGAAACGAGATACAAGTATGAAGAAGATTTGAGTCCTAAGGTCGCTGAGAAATTATGATAACAGAAGAGGTTCCATCCATACATCGAGGGCAAGCAACCGAGGTGGTCCCACCCCCGGCCGTACCAGTAGAAAAAGAAACATGTTTTCTATCAGAGCTGCACATCAAGAGACGGGGAATTACAGTATAAAAAAAAACAAGGCTCGTCATCGTCATCCTCAATACTGACCGGGAACAAACAACCGGAGTCCGCTGGCCGGGGCCCCAATCTCCGTTACCTCCGAAATCCGACACACCGTGCCCTTGTATTGTTCGTGGTACTTGGCTCCGGTGAATGGGTCCGACACACTCGGGGACCCACCGTAGATAGGCGTGTACGAAGCAGCACAGATGTCGAATTCGGCGAACTGGTCGAACTCAATGTCAATCTTGTCTTGCGCGCTGCGCTCGCTCTGCAACTTGATCTTACGGGCCTATTAAGGGAGTCAGTATACCTGCCTGGATCTGGATAGAAGATGGGGCCATGTCTTACCTGCTCAAGAAGCTTGGGCGAGCCACCGTTAGCCAGCATGCGGTTCGCGAAGCTGAGGGCGGAAGAATAGTTCTTGTTGGCAAAGGCAAACTTCATAGCAGCCATCAGTGCCAACTGACGGTGGGCCACTTCCAGCTTGGGGATGGTGAAGTAGGCCGAGAGCTCAAGACTTCTCTTGAGACCCTCGGGCGTATCGGTAGAGAGAGAACGACGCTCCAACTCGATCGACATGGCCAGGATGTACTCCCGCGCGGTGGCGATGATCTTCTTCGCTTGCTCAACTTCAGCCTCCGAAGAGACGGTATTCAGCAGGATTGAATGAAGGATACCCCTGAAGACCTTGACACCATCTTCAAGCTTGTTGGCCCTCATCGCGGCGTAACCCTCTTGCAAGTCGACGTTGGCAATGGTCTCCAGATCTCTGGGGATGACAGGTAGAACTTTGCGGCTGTCCGTCTCTTCAACAGTGCGGCGTACGTAATTCACTAACGGGGGAAGACCTGCACTTGCGGGCAGATAGGTCTTGGAGCCCTTGTAGATTTCCAGGAAGCGGGGCTTCAAGGGGGCGAAGTTGACGGCACCAACTTGACGATTGAGAAGTTGCATGGCCGTCTCGAAAGAGCCGGCAGCGACATGATCCGCTGCAAGAGGGGAGTTGCGAGCCCAAAGGTCGGCTTCCGCGCCACCAGCACCAGCCTCTGCACCTTCGACATCGACGAATTCGGCATCCTCTTCGACATTGATCTCGTCTCCCATGTCCCATCCGGCGACATCCTCCTCTTCGTCCTCGAAGGTATCACGCGCGGCAGCAACCTCACCTTCTTCCTCGGGCTCAAACTCGATGGCAGCGACCTCATCATCGACCTCACCCACCTCTCCAAGCAGAGCCTTTTCGAATGATGAATGAGCAGCAGCCTTGACTGGCCAATTAGCCTTGAAGGTGGGAACGATGGGTTGAGGCACACGCAGGGGCTCCTCAATCGTGGAAAGAGTGATCTGATCCTCCGTGAGGCCGCAGGCCTCGAGGATTGACTCGGCCTCCTCTGTCAGCCCGTGGGACTTGGCAGTAAGGTACGCGAGCGGATCTATACTAGATTAGAAACCAAACCCAACTTAGACATGGAACAGGACTTACAAAGATCGACTTCCTTGAACATCTGAATCCTGTCCTCGACGTCACCACGGTAGATTGCGTTCTGGAAACGCGACGTGAAGTCGCCTCGGTGCTCCGCAATCTTAGCCATGCGGGACAGCTTCTCCTGGTCACCAGTCGACAGGTACAAGAAAGACAGCTTGTCAAAGTTTCTCTGCTTTTGGTAGGCCATCTCAACTGTCTGATGGTTACCGTGAGCCAGAGCTTCGGCCCCAAGTCTGGTCCACAGATTGGGGCGGTCCAACTCGCGAGCCATCTCAATAGCTACATCCAGGTTGCCGCACTCAATGGCAAGCTCGAAACGGGTCTGGGGATCCTGCACAAATTGCAGCGCGATCTCGGGGTAGCCCTTCTTCTGCAGGTAGGAAATGATGCTTTGACCGACCAGGCTCGATGTCTTAATGATCTGCAACATCTCATCGTAGTTCCTCTTCACCAGTGCAAGCTTGAATCTGTACTCAGTAGGGTCAATGTCCAAGACGCGGGGCTTAGCGCTGCGGTCCAAGCAGTAGACGCTTCTGCCCTTGACCTTGACAAGGTAGACAGTCTGGTCGAGAGTGCGAATGATGCCGTTGTCACTGATTCATGTTAGCTATCAAACCGTATTATCTTCAAGAACTTCGAAATAGCGTACCCGTTCAGGAGAGAATACTTGACATGGTTTAAGGTAGAGTAGAGAAGGACGCCAGCGTCATCCCAGGCTGCGCTCTTGATACGGATCGTCTCGTGCAAACTGCTCACCTGCTCCAAGGTCTTGGTCACAATAGTGACGTTATGCTTGCTGAGCAAAGCGGCATAGAGCCCGTCGTTGGACCAGACAACATACTTGACGCCGCTCACAGCGAGCTCCGCCAATTGCTTCTTCTGCTGAATGTCGAAGAGAACGACCGAAGTAGGAGTGATGAAGAGTAGACAGCCAGTTCCACCGAAGTAAATGTCTGTGGTTCCGACTGGAGGCTTGATCGATTTTGTAGTCGCATTGCTGAGATCCTTGATGTCTACCTGTTGGTTGCCTTGGCTAAAGACGGCGAAGCGGTTGCGCGCAACGAAGACAGCAGACGTGCCCTGACCACGCTTGACATCGGTAGGCTCCACAGCACCGGTAGCATCCCTTGGGAGGTGAATCAGTTCGTACACGCCACCATCAGTCGGGGACGTGACCAGGATGGCACGCTCGGCAGGGTTGTATGAGAGGGTACGAGGAGGCACCCAAGGGGATCCCAATTTGCGCAGTGAGAGCATAGGAGGAGACTCCACGTTCTTGCCGAAGTCATATGACTTGACATGCTTCTCTTTGGTGATATAGAAGAGCTGGTTCTGGTAGACCGCTGAGGCAGGTCGCTCTCTTTCCAACTTGAAAACCATCACACCGGTATCATGGCCGGCAGCAAATAGATTGATCTCGGGATGGGCAGCAATGACCCAGAAACGGTCCAGGTCGCGCTTGAACGATTGGACGGACGTTCTCTTGTTCAAATCCCAACATCTGATGGTCTTATCTTCGCCGACAGAGAGGATTAGGTCCTGGTGCGGATGGAACAAACAGGCAGAAGCGTTCTGGAAATGCCCACGGCAGGTGTCAACTTCCCAAGCTTTCGTGTCTACAGAAGTCATGTCAGCTATTACCACCATTGAACACCTATATTGTCATGTCCCACGTACCACTCATTCTCCAGAGCTTGATGAGACGGTCGTCACCGGCGGAGACGATCAAGGGAAGAGTAGGGTGGAAGGAGACCCAGTTGACTCCTCGATCGTGGCCCTCTAGGACGAACTTCACCACGGCGTCTGTGTTTCCGAACATGTCTGCTTGACCGGGGTTGGCCCGGGCCATCTGATCTTCGAAGGAGATAGTCGTCGGGGCCGAGTGCTTCTTGCGCAAGCCGGAAATGTCCCAAATGCGAACCGATTGATCCAACGAGGCGGAGGCGATCAAATCCTCGGTAGGGTGGAACTGTGCACACATAACGTAGTGGTTGTGGCCGGTCATGGTACAGACTACAGGCTAAACGTCAGCCTCCCTCCGGACAGGTGGTCAGAGTCCAACATACTTAGGGACCGGTTCTGCCAGTTCCAGATTCTAATGGTTTGATCGTCCGAGGCGGAGAGAATCCAGGGCAATTCATGATGGAAGAAGACCGTCCGCACGTAGTCCAAGTGGCCGTTCAGGGTGAACATGCACCGGCGAGTCTGGTAGTTCCAGACCTTGATCTTGTAGTCATCACCTCCGGAGACAAACATGGGCTGTGTCGGGTGGAAGTCAATGCCACGAACGGGACCATCGTGTTCTTCGAAGCGGTCAATCAGGGTTCCCATGCGGTAATCCCATAATTGAATGGTGGAGGAGTGAAGGGAGACTAGAATCCATGGCCTGTGCCGGGGGTCAGCGTTTGCGACGCGTTGTACAAACGACAGATGACGACGAACCGCTTAGGGTGGAAGGCAATTCCCTTAGCGCGAGAGGATTTGGACTCAAACTAAAGCATTGAAGGTTTTGTCAGTTCCAGGTCTTTGAGTAGACAGAGACCAGCTCCGTTGCGATAAGGGGGAGAGTGAGGGGACAATGGGGACATGGAGGGGGACGGGCGGACCTTAGTGAGCATGTTTGGGGAGGACTGCATCTTGGAGGAGGGTTGGCCGGAGCCGCACCATAGAGAAGCAAGCTCCGCACACGAGAAATAAAAGGAAGATCAAAAGAATGACCACCACATCCACTACTTCGGGAGGAAGAGGAGGAGTGTAGTTGTGAGGGGGGTTAGTTGAATAGAGCAATGGGAGGAGTGTCTGGACTCTGGACTCCAGCCGTGGTCCGTCTCGATGGATGGATGGATGGCGGTAAACGTGGACTTATTGTGTCGGCAGCCAATAAGCGAGCCCCGAGGGCCAATGATGGGCCCCGGGCGGTGAGCAGCTGCCAGGGGAAATGAATCAATCGCCTTCAACCAACAACTAACTGAGCCTGAGCTAACATGCTAATGCTCATGCTCATGCGCATGCTTGCACTTCGCCTGACACTAACTAAGTATTGTTTTTTCCTCCGTTCATCGATTCTGGATCAGTAGTGAGCTTCAACAGAATGTGATATCATGGTCTTGTTGCTTTCATGCCGTTGTCGGAGCGGTGGGACCCCCATAATGCAACCGAACACAACGTCTTCCCCAGCCAGCCCCATTACGCTTCTCTCCGACTGGGTCTGTTTGGAGCTCTGTCTGCCCTATTCTTCTTGCAACGGTTTTTGGTTTTTCTTGCCCCGGTTCTCAAATCAACAGATGAAAATACTGCAAGTACAACGGCGATTAAACGGCGATATCGTACACATGATGTCTTTTCATGCGCATGCCGATTTTCAAAACGCTTTCTAAAGCAGCATTTACACTCTATAAAGACAGCACTTTTTATACTTGACGAATTTTAGCGACACCAGCTAGAGCACCATGATCAAAGCTGAGGATGGCACAGTCCCTCCTCCCTCTCCGCTTCGGGATGAACCAACATGCTTCACTCAAGATATTCCCGGTCCCGCTTCGGGCTCCTGGCAACCTGCTGTGCACGAGTCTCCGTCAGTCAACACCCATAACAAAGATGAAACGAATGTGATATTGCCATATGCGATCGAAGAACCCGAGGATGAGCCTGCCGACACCTGGAAGGAGGCAGGTGCGAGACCGAGGTCGGCGTTACTTCTCCGGGAAAGTTCAGGACCCAAGCAAGATGATTTGGCGGACTCGATGGAGGGTCTTTATTGCGATTCGGACCCTACAAGCCGCCGCTCAAGCTTCGCCGCTAAACGGGGCATGAAGCGAAAGCCGTCGAGTGCACCTACCGCCCCGACTCGTCCAGCTCGATCACACTCAACCAGCAACTCTTCCAATACTCAAGAGGGAGGATGCAACGGTCGTCCCATAAAGCAACGTAGGCGAAGCCAGCGTTCAAGGAACCATCTGGGGTTATTCTCCGATGTGTTTTGGCACGGGGGGGCCAGTGAAACCGGGTCATCGGGCAGTTACGACTCTCGATCTTCTTCGGCGGATCCCAGTAGTTTCTACCCTTATGCGTCCACCACGCCAGATCAAATGGACATTGACTGAGTGAGCGTTACATGAGCATCTGCCAGGTGGGCTCCCCCCGAGCTTCATAGCTTATTGCTGGCTCTGGCGACTCGCAGCATGTGACACGTGACGTAGTGCGGCCACGCTAGGCCGGAAAAGGCTGGGTTATTCGATGACGTCACCAACTTCTCATCGCCGTCACTTATACTGCTCTCTTTGTCGGCTTACGGCTAACAGATCACCTTCTACCATTATCCTGTCGTTATCACCACCCATCGAACCAATTCCCTTCCTCAATTGGCCTACGAACTTGCTTAACAAGCCCCAGCGCGCATAGTAAATATGGCAACCCGAACATCGACTCGCCAGGCCGCCCAGAAGGCAAAGGAAGCCATTGCGGCGGCTCCTGATGTTAAAAGCCGAGGTACTGCTGGCGCAAAGCGCAAGGGCAGTGCTGACAAGGGAGCGGAGTCTAAGCGTAGCAAAAAAGAGGCCGACAAAGAGCCGGACGAAGCCAAGCAGCCCACGACCGGAATTGATGCGCAACCACCTAAAGGTAGAGTAAGTCCGCATAACCACCGCGTATGTTGTCTGACTCTATGTAGGTCATTCTGAGCAGGCCGGAAAGCCAGAAGCGAAGCCCGAAGAGCCGAGCAATAAGCCTGCAGCTAAGCCAGAGGGTGAGCTCAAGGGAGGACCAGAGAAACCTGGCGAGAAGCCAGAGGACAAGCCAGAGGACAAGCCAGAGGACAAGCCAGAGGACAAGCCAGAGACCGAGTCAGAGACAAAGACAGAAGAAAAAGCAGAAGAACAGTCAGAGGTGAAGCCTGAGACTGAGCAGCCAGACACAGCGAAAGAAGACAAGGCCGATGACAAGCCCGAAGATAAAATGGAGCTGGATGATGAGAACAAACCCGAAGACATTCAAACAGAAACCAAAGAACTCAATTTGGCTCCCGCCAAGGGCAACGAAGCTGGCGTCGAAACCTCGCAGGAGAGGGAGGAAAAGGTTCCGTCAAACATCCTTGAAAAGGGTATTATTTACTTTTTCTACCGGTCCCGAGTCAATGTGACTGATCCTCAGGGTGTCGATGATGTTGCGCGCACTTTTGTGGTTCTGCGACCAACTCCCTTGGGAGCTACCTTGGACGCAAAGCAGGGCCCGGTTGACACTGGTGCCAAATGTCGTTTGATGGCTCTTCCAAAGAAAAGATTCCCGACCTCTGGTCGTGATCGAGTTATGGGATTCGTCGAAAAGGCTGGGCAATCCATGAAAGCACTGCAGGAAAGCTTCATTGCTGGAGGGCAATATGACACCACCACCCAAGGCGAGCGTACCGTTCCTGATGCCCGTCCGTATGCAGAAGGCGTCTACGCAATTACATCTACCAAACGAACCTCTCATCTGGCTTACGTTCTCACAATTCCTGATCAGATTGGATCACTTCAGGAAGACTTTGGCCTCCGGGCACGGGGCAGCTGGGTTGTGCAGTCGAAGAACCCAAAACACCCTGGGCCATCCTACGCTCAACTTCCTAAAGATCCCGAGTATCCCGACAGGTCTTACCCCCGCCCCAATTATGGCATTCCTTACCGTGGTCCACGTGCATTTGCTGACTGATGATGACAGTGTGCTTGCTAAATTCGGCGACTACCGCTGGAGGCCGCTGGAGCCTGAATTCATCGATTATCCCAACGCACAGTTCCTTGTGGTTGGGGAAGCTGTGGACGAGCTTGGAAAGGCTGCAACTGCAGAGGAGGATGGCAAGAAAGCTGATGAGGTGCAGCCTGGAGAAGAGCTCGAGCACCTAGAGCAGGAAAACGAGGAGCGGGTGGAATCTCTGCGGGGTGAGTGCTCCCTCAGGATCTTTCAGACTGCCTGATTCGAGACATGCAACTAATATCAAACAGGAGACGATACAATCTATGAGGATCTTGGTCTCGATGCGAAGAACTATCCTGCCGTTCCGACAACCTGGGAGAGTCCGTAATGAGCTTGGGTAGCTGCGATGACCAAAAAGTATCTTGTAGGACATGGCAGGCCAACAACGACGCGGCATGATAGAAGATGAGGACGATGACGCTGACGAAGATGAGATGAAGTCAGTGTGAAGATCACCGCTGCAGTCAACTAAAAATAATGCGAATGCAATGCAATTACTTGTTTCCTTGGCTATGGCCTATTCGGCCGTGGTCCTCCACAGGTTTAGAACGAATTGCAGGCCTGGATGCGCCCACGTTGTCTTCCTTCTGTTGGATCCTTCCTTGATCCTTGCTAGTTACTAGTAGTAGTAGCTTTCCGGTCCTCGGAGCCATTTCTATCCGCCATCGAAAGTGCTTTATGAATAAGAATAAGTCCTGTTACTTCACCGGCTCTTTTCAAGGTCTCCAATTAACTTCATTTTCCTCATTACACCTACAATTTGAAAACTACCCCCCATGCGACGCGACTCCTCCTGGTTGTACACTCTCCCAGTTCTATACTGGACTGCTGCTGCAGCCAACAATGACGTTGTGAACCGGACCAGCTGCGGCAGTCATACTTACACCTATTCCGGCCTGGCTGGCTATGGCTACATTCCTTCCAACGCCACAGACAAGTATGGCGACACTTTAGGTGGCTTTGGCAGCTCGGCCGCCTTTGACTTGGACTCCTGGCGGCGCATTGGGCCTGAAACTTATACCGGACTGCTTTACTGCATCCCCGATCGTGGCTGGTATGATTGCCTCCTGTATTGTTGTATTTCTCTCTCTCCTGGCCTCGTGTGCTGAGAATAAATGCAGGAATACGAACGGCACTCTCAACTACCAAGCCCGCGTCCATACACTCAACGTCACCCTCCATCTAACCAGCAACAACAACTCCGCCAATCGTCCATCCAGACCCAACCTACAGCTAACTTACCTCGACTCCCTCCTGCTCACCGATCCCACCGGCAAGCCACTAACCGGACTCGACGCCTCGGCCGATTTCAACGACACCCTCAACTATCCAGGATTCCCACCGCTACCGGCCGCGATCTACACCGGCAATGGCTTCGACGACGACTCCAACAGTGGCCACGGCGGTCACCGCGTCTCCCTGGACGCGGAAGGCCTCGTCCTCACCCCGGACAGCTTCTGGATCTCCGACGAATACGGGCCCTACGTCTACCGGTTTGACCGCCAGACCGGCCGGATGAAGACAGCCATCGAGCCCCCAGCAGCCTACATCCCGCACCGCAACCATTTCATCAGCTTCAGCGCCGACAGCCCCCCCATCTACGACCCGAACGACACCCCCATCCCCGAAGACCCTGCAACTGGCCGCGCGAACAACCAAGGCTTCGAGGCCTTGACCATCTCCCCGGACGGGAAGACCCTCTACACGATGATCCAATCCGCTCTGGACCAGGAGGGCGGCACCAGTAAGAAGTACCGTCGTCCCGCGCGTCTCCTGCAGTACGACATCTCCGCGGAGATCCCGGTCCAAGAGCACGAGTATGTGGTCATGTTACCCACGTACTACGATTACACCAAGGGTCACGACGTGGTGGCCGCGCAGTCTGAGATACACCTGCTTCCGGCCGTCGCCGCCGCGGGGGATCCAGACGACAAGGCATTCTTGGTCCTGGCGCGCGACTCCGGGTTCGGTCACGGCCAGGACGAGTCGTTGTCTGTTTATCGGCATGCGGACGTCGTGCGCATCACGAGTAACACCACCGATCTGAAACGGTGGCGGGGAGTTGACGGGGTTAATGGGTCCATCGCCTCGGCCAAGGGGGTCTTGGACACCGGGATTACCCCGGCGGAGTACTGTCCCTTCTTGGACTATAATGTCGAGAGCCAGCTGGCCAAGTTTGGGTTGCATAACGGTGGCCCGCAGGATCGCTTCCTGTTGAATGAAAAGTGGGAGAGCCTGGCGCTGGTGCCCGTGGAGCCGGGGCAGAAGAAGGCGTCCGCCCGCGAGAGGGAGTACTTTCTGTTTAGTTTGAGTGACAATGACTTTATTACACAGAATGGTAAAGTCCCCCGGAGAGCTGGACGAGTCAATGGCTAATGAGTTGAACCAGGTCGCATGAACTTCGGTCGGTTCAAGTATGCGGATGAGTCGGGATATGACCTTGACAATCAGGCACTGGTTTTCAGGGTGAAGATATCATCGTAAGACACGGACTCATCCTGTATGGTTGATGATATCTTCTTTCTTGTCGTGCATATCAGTGGCCTGTATGTCTAACCTCATCCCGTGAGTTTTTCTTGAAGGATGATCCTTTGGTTTTCAAGGCCGGGTGATTGTATCTAGAAGGTCAGATTTAGAGAAAAGACCACAAGCTTCATCCTGATTTATTTTCTTCATCTTCTGCATTCAAAGGACTTACATGTGGGCTCTGTCTTGTGGTCCTTATATCTTTTTTTAAAACAAGTTCTTCATCCAAGAAAATACACATAGTAGGAAATGTCATCGACTTCCCGTCCTGCCTGCAGCTACCCGACGTTACCCTCAACCTAAGTATATATCGGCGCAAACAGGAATAACAACTTGCTAAACTGAACACCTACTCCTCGACCCAGCACAATAAAACCCCCAATTATACCCCACATGTCACACAAAACACCCATCCTCAAACACCTCCATCCCCCTCCACTACACAAAGCACAGCGTACAGTAGCGTAGCAAACAAAGAACCCCCTCTCCCACCCAAAATGTATACATCACTCCTTCAACACAGCCCCAACCACTGACAGTAAACCCACCACCAAACCAACAAACACACATCCCAGAAACACATAGATGAATAAAAAGTAATTGCGTCATGTCCTCCTCCCCCCCTCCCTCCGTCCCACTTTAAATCCTACCTAAGACTGTAGACTCCAACCCCGGCATCGCTCTTGATCCTAACTTGAACCATCATCCCCGTCCCCTCGACCCAAACACCACCACCACCACCCAAACCACCCCGCGCGTACTTCCGCGGCTAGAGTTCCACAGCCCCAACCGCAGCCACAGCCACGGTTACCCTCATCCAACCAGAAGGACTTCACGTGAGTTAAGTTTTGAACCCATGACTTGGGATCTATCGGTCGATGATCTTTCGGATGAGTCGAGCTTTTATGGTGGGTGTTGCATTATACCTAGGATTTCCATTTACTTCCTAGTTTAATACCATTCGGCGTTGATGGGTGGACAATACTGATTATTGAAGGTAGGCGATGATGACGACGACGACGAAGAGGTCAAGCGGTTAGAACATCTGGTTACGAGTTACGATACCGGCTACTACTGGAACAGGATCCATCCGTACTCGCTGAACACTATTCGCCGGAGGGCGTTGAGCGCGAGGCGGAAGGCACACGAAGAAACACAAGCAAGCGAGAACGCAGCCGAGATGGACTGCGGTACTAGTATTAAGACGGAAGATGGGGACGATGGCGCTGCGCCGCCTCGGTGTTACAGCTTTCCACCACCCGACGCTCTGAAGCGCACGACTGAATTAAAGAAAGACGAGGCGGACGGCGACACGATCATGACGGATGTCTCTGCCTCCTCGGAGCGCAGCCGCGTGAGACGCACAGCCTCGAGCGTAGCAGCTACGGGGCTGACACCATCCAGTACCCCCGCTGATGCGGTCGGGCCGTGGATCTATGTCGCAGCACCTCAGCAGTCCAAAAGACCGCAGCAGGCGGATATCGCGAGGCTCGTGGCGGAGGGGACGAGGGCACTGCATCGGTTCGAGAATGACAGGGCCGCGTTGCAGGTGCAGCGGGACAGGGCCCCGGCGGGTTCGAAGCAGGCGGCAACGCGGGCGCTGCACCGTCGGCGGCAGGAGTTGGAGAGCGAGCTGTTCGTGCTGGCGAGGCAGACGGGCGTCGTGTCCGGGAAGTGGATGCTGTTTATCACGGCGGATCGGGTCGATGAGTATTGGACAGTGGTGGCCGAGGCGACCGTGCGCGGAGAGCTGGGATTCGGAGCCAAGGTAGCAACGGATGATGGGCAGGGGAGGGCGCGACTGATCGCAATCTATACCCACGATCATGAGGACCGCGAGGACGTGGCTCGGGTGCTGAGGAGAATGGTAGAGTTGGAGCTTGTCAAGTCCAATGAGAAGCCCATATACTATAAGTGTGATGCGTTCACCCATCTGGAGATCATGGGGAACAATCCGTGGGGATTGAAGGCGAGTCGGTTTTCGAGTCGAGACGTGTTGCGGGGTGAGTGGTGAGCGAGCTGCTGGATATTTGGATTGTTGATTCAAGAATGTGTACATATCGGCCATTTCAGCGTACTCGCCGTGACTTGAGGCTCAAGAAGAACCTAGCAGGCTCGATATGCCGATCCCGGAGCTTTGTATGAGCACTGATTGACGAAGGGGATAGACAAGTCAGCGCCCGACTTGAGGCCTTCCTTATCATCATTGCCATACCAAGCAAGCCTGGAGGGTAACACGTTCTTCCAACCCCAACAAGCCCCATGTCATAACCAAGCACAGCGGAATTGATCCCCACGCTTGTTTGCCGCTCTGCGTGAAATTACCACCAGTGCCTCACCTCAAGACGACTCATCCCCTCGATCCATGACCTTCTCACAAGCCTCCCGAACCTCCGCAACCCCCTTAACCCCTTCCCACTTCCCCAGCAACTTCCTCACCTCCTCCCAATCCTTCTCCGCCTCTTCCGCCTTCCCCTCAGCCACCAGCTTCTCCAACCTCTCCGGCGCGCCCAGCACCCACTGCACCGTCAGCCTCTCCGCCTTCCTCCGCTCCGCCCCCACCGTCGCCGCCTTCGCCTCCCGGATCCGGCGCTGCTGCTCCTCGCCCTCCTGAATCAGACCGCCGGCCGTCTCCGCGACGAACGCAATCGCCGGCCCCAGGGTCTTGGTCATGGTCAACGGCGCCCCGCGCTCATCCATACTGCGCCGCATCTTGCCGATCGTCTCGACCGCGCGGATCAGCTTGGAGTAGTTGTCGTACACGAGCGCCTTGCGCTCGCTGTCCAGCGTGCGGATGTCCCCGACCAGCGTGTTCTCGGCCTTCAGCACCGTGGACAGCGACGAGGTGGCCAGGAGCTGGTTGACGTAGCGCTGGGGGTCGAAGTCCGGGCTGTCGAGTTCCGTCCCCGTGGCCACGACGGATGATGATGGGTGGTTGTTGTGATTGACGGAAGGGTCCTCGCTCGGGCGGGGGATGCTGCGGGATCGGCGTCCGGCGCCGCCAGTGCCGGCAGCATCGCTCGGCCGGAGGTTGTAGTAGTCGCGGAGGGCGGCGCGGTTGCGGCGCGGGTGGAGAGACGGGGAGACTGCTCGCGCGGTGGAGGGGGTCGAGGAGGCGCTGAGCCCTCCTCCTCCGCCGTTGTATCCGAGATTGGTGTTCAATGTGTCCAAAGAGGGACGGTGGGAGGAGGTCGGGGTGGGAGAGTGGGCGCGCGATGAAGCAATTGACGGACGGGGGGAGGAGAGTGTCGACATGGTGGTGGTTGTGGTGTGAAGGGGGAGGTGGGCTGGATTGTTTGTTGCTACCTATGCGAGAAGTAGAAAGGCAATAGAAGAGTGTAAAACACGAATATGACTATACCAGAAAAGGGTGTAATTCACGTCTCGATGAATGTAAGTTGATTGTCAAGGAGGTGTAGGGAAGCTGGAGGTAGTTTAGGGGACTCGACGTTCTTCCCCACCCCGGATTCCGCTCCGCAACCGCAACCGCAGCCGCAACCAACGTTGAAACAAAGCCAAACAATTTCTCCAAATTTCCCGCTCCTTTCCCCTCACAGCAACGCAACAATCACAACAACTTCAAAATCATGCTCCCAACCTCTCCCACCTAACCCCTCTTCCTCCCAACCACAAACCCAGCTTCGCGTTCACCTCACTCCAAACACCCAACCAATCTTCTCGTCAGAACCATGACCACCCCACAATCCCAAATCTCAGCCCACCTCCACACCACCAAAGCCCTCCCCGTCTCCCCAACCTGGCTCAACAGCTTCGTCTCCTCCATGACAGCAGCCCTGCAACGCAACGTTCCCATCTCCGCCCTGACACAAACCGCGCTCTTCCGCATCCTGGCCTCGGACTTCCGCGACTCCCTCCAAACCGATCACCCCTCCGCCCTGCTGCCGGGCGACATCTTCGATCTCTCCGTGCAGGAACGACGGCTCCCGGGCCCCGTCCCCGTCCAGGTGTTGGATATCGAGGACATCGGCACGAGTCTGTGGAGTCAGGTCGAGGCGATCGAGCGCGTCGAGCGTGGGGAGGCGATCCGCGGACGGGAGATTGTGAGGGCCGTTAATGTTGGTGGTGGTGGCGGCGAGGAGGGTGATGATGAGGAAGGGGCCGGCAGCGGAAATACTGCTGGTGCTACTGCGTCGTCCGAGAAGAAAAGTCATGGACCGCATCGATTGATCGTACAGGACGCGGCGGGGACGAGAGCGGTGGCGATTGAATTGAAGCGCGTTCAGGGCATATCTGTGGCTAAGCTGGCGATTGGGGCGAAGATGGTCATACGGAATGCGACGGTGGCGCGCGGGATGATATTGCTCACGCCGGACTGCATTACGCTCCTGGGAGGGAAGATCGAGAGTATGGATCAGGCGTGGAAAGAGGGGAGAAAGGCTAGGTTGTTGGCGAGGATTACGGAGATGCAAGGTGAGGATCAGTCGTCAGGTTGATACTGCTGACGGAGAGGAATATTTGCATTTGTGGTATGCCCCCCCTTCTCTTTTCGTGACTCGTTTCTATCTAATAGCTCTTTAAGTAGATCTTCCTCTATCTCACATCTGGAAAGTGGTGCAAAGGTAGCGACTATTCGATCGTCGAGACTGCATGATTCAGCTCTTCCCACCCCGATTGCTGCCATGGTGCCACCATAATCGCCCTCATTGCGTCGCTCGCCTTCCCGGTCTGTGCGTATGCAGCAGCAAGATCAACGGCTTCCAAGTTGCTGCGGGGAGGGATGCTTCGCAAAGCTCTCTTGACGGCCATCTCAGCTGGGTACAGCTCCTGCGTAGCCGATGACAATTCCACCCAGCCTTGCGGTTCGGCAGGCGATCTCATCACTGCTGCAGTGGCTTCTCCAATCCGTCGAGTATCCTCAGGAACATCCGAGTTATCTCCGTATCCCAGGGTAGACACCGCAGTGAGAAGCTTGATGAGCTTGCCGCGCTCATGGATCTCTATGTCATCGCGAGTGATCATGCTGCGGAGGTCAGATTCGACGGCCTCAACCGCGTCTCTATCTTCATCCAGTAGCGCAATGGCTCCGAGAAGGGTGACGGCGCCGATGTGGTCAGGATTCTCTTCAACGCAGTCGAACAGCTGCTGGCGAGCGACGGCTCTTTCCTCCTCCCCGCCCTTGGCCCACAGCACCTGCGCCAAGAGGCACACCACCTCTGGAGCATTGTCCGCCTCTCCAAGCGCATCACGGAACATATCAATGGCATTGTCCATGGACTTCAAGTAGTAGTGTGCCAGCCCAGCGGTCAAGTGCGCTGACAGACGCAGCTTTTTGTTCGTCTCAGGATCGAACTTCTCTGCGTCCTCTTCGCCAGAGAGCATAAGTGCTGTTTCCGCCTTTTCGGCGGCTTCCTCGTACTCATGACGGGCAAGAAGAATACGGGCAATATCAGCGTTGGCCTGCGCATATCGAGAGAGGGATGCCGCTGACTCTGAGACTTCGTATTCGGCCTCCACTCCCGCACAAACAGTTCGCAAGCTCGTTTCGGCATCTGCAAACTCACCAATTCGTTCCGCTAGAAGGGAAGAGAGATGGACGAATGGCAAGTCAGAAGGCTCCTGGCTGGAAAGCTGGTGAAGGGCGAAGAAGGGCTGGATGAGTTGCGAGATTTCGTTAGAAATGGAAGAATCGGACATGAGATGGTCGAACAAGGTCATTGTGTATTGTTTCTTGGGCAACCGTGACGATGAATTGGAAATGTCGAAGGCGTGCTCAAACAAGCCTCTTGCTTCCCGCGAGTCACCGAACAAAAGAGCAAGCAAGCCTTGGCCAACCCAAGCCGGTGCATAGTCTGGATCGGTAGACTGTGCCCGGGTAAAGGCCTCATTTGCCAGCTGAATGTCATTATGAAGGAGATATAGGGTTCCTAGATTTGTCCAAACCTGGGCACTGCGATCGTTGAGATGGAGGCTTCGCACGAATGAATGCTGGGCAACCTTGGGACTCATGCTTGTAGTCGCTACACCAAGTGCATTCCAGAATTCCGAGTTGCCGGCTTCCAGTTCGATGGCTCGCTTGAAGCAACGCATGGCCGTCTTGACGAATTTGCGAGTCTGCTTCTTATTCTCGGAGGCTGAGCTGAGCTGCAGGCTTCTGTAAGCTCTGTATTCGGCCCAGCCGAGGTTATACCAGGCAACAGCCTGAGCATGGGTATCCCGGAGTGAGACCTGGATGGCACGTTTGTAGGCTAGAATGGCGGCATAGAGACATTTGTTCGCCGGGCTGGTGCTATCGTCTTCAGAGGTTAGTGAAACGAGGATTTCCGCGCCCACTTCGTCCACGTCAGTCATGATGTCCAAGGCTGTTGGCTCCAGTTGGGCTGTGAGCAGGCTCTGCAATTCATCGATCGGCAGCCTGTCTGCCTTGGATTTCACGTAAGAGAATAGACTGCATGCGTCTCCAATGCCCTTCCAGAGGTTGAATACATCGACTCTTTCCATGGCAAGTGACTGTGCGGTCGAAATCGCTCGTCGCGCAAGCTCAACGCAGTCATTGTACCGTCCCAATTCCAGACTCTTCCAAGAGCTTTCGGTAAGCGTCTGAAGCAAGTCGATCAAGACGCCAATCTCCGTTGGCCTGACTTTCAGCACATCCTCGTACCTCGCGATAGCATCGTCATAATCGGCAAGCTCCCGCTTGACATTTGCAAGCATGTATCTCGCAAACCAGATCTGTTCCTTGTCGGTGCTCGAAAGCGTCTCCTCCAAGGCTTGTGCGTGCTCAAAAGCTTTGGTCGCAGCAATATACCTTCCGGAGTGGTGGTAGCTCTCGCCCAGACCGACCCATGAATGGTAATCATCAGGCTTTATTCTCAGCGCTGCCTGAAACGACACAATGCTCTTCGGGTATTGTTGTTTGTTGATTTGGACAGTACCCAAAGCTGCGTATGGCCAACTGTAGCCCTTGCGCTTAGAGCCCGGAGCTGGTTTGGCTTTGCCAGAATCCACCACGCGCTGGGCTACGGCTTCGACGAGGTCCCAGTCCCGCTGGCTAGCGAATGTGCGTGCCAACCTCTCCGCAGCTTCGATCTCAGACGGGGACAATTCAAAGGCTTTGTGGAAGCATCTCTTGGCTCGAGTCTTGTCTTTCTTGTAGTCTGCATAGTACAGTCCAAGGCTGGTATAGGCGGGCGCGAAGTTCATGTTGGTCTGAATCGAAGCAAGGAAACTAGCGTAGGCGCCGTTACGATCCTTGCGTGCAGCTGGTGCTGGATCAATCTCCCACTGACAGTAGCCTACCCTGTAGAGGATTTCAGCCTTGAAATCTCTATTTTCCGGTTGTGCCTCGCGAAGCTCTGAGAGCACCTCCTGAAGACCCTCAAGACCGGTTTCGAGGTCGCCGTTGAGCGCCCGACACCAGGACAGCTCCCCTCGAACTTTGATGTTCGATGGGTCCCGCGCCAGCGCACGCTCCAGAAAGTTCACAGCTTCTGGATAGTCCTCATCAACCTCAAGGATAAGACCGATTCCAAGCAGACAGCTCGTCGAAGTCGGCTTCCGCTTCAAGATCACTTCGAAGATGCCCTTAGCCTCAGGATGGTAGCGAGGGGACTGGTGGTAGATGAGTGAATTTGCAAGTATGATGTTAATTGCATCGGTGCTGTTTGTGAGATCGAGCCCCGCCCGCTTGACCACGTCGTGAACATTACGGAGACCTTTACGACAGATGTCCGCGGCACTCTCGTACTCTTCAAGTGTCAAATAGAGTTCTCCTACGATCCGATGTGCGACGATCGAGGTTGACGAAGTCTCAAGACCTTCCACCATCAGGAGAAGATGATCTTGAGCAGCCAACTCATTCACCTCGTCATTGTTCTCGTCGGATTCAGGTTCCTCCGCTTTGGAGTCTCTCCTTTGCTTAGGTTCTTCTGGCTCCTTCGTCTCTTTGGGGAAAGGAGAGATATCACTGGCAAGGAAACCCTTAAGGACCTTGGACAGTCCATCTTCGGGAAAGAACTCAATGAAGTCATCGAGGAAGTTGCGATCCCATTCGTGGAATTCTTGGATATCATGCCACTCCAGCACAATCTTCCAGGCCAGTTCGAAAGGATGCTTGATGATGACCATGTCACGAGCAGCCTGCAGCACCTCCACTCGCTTGGCATCCTTCTCATTTGCTGGCAGAACTGTCAGGAAGTCATAGGCGCGCTGCAAATACTTCTCCTCATAAGTGCGTCGAACCTGGTCGTCATGAGACCAGTCCACGATCCCGCGATAGAGCTGCTCCAACTCGCTGCGCTTGAAAGCTTCCCTCTTGACCTCCAGTGTGACCTGATCGATCTTTGCGCCGAGACGAGTGCGTCTTTCCCCGATCTCACGATTTATATATTCTTTCTCCTCCGACTCCGTTATCTCAATCAGACGGAGGTAGGTATGGGACGGATGCGGGATCCTGCCTTGAAGATATTCGTAAAGCGGCGACGATGGGAGGTGCAGCTCAAGAGCTTTCTTGTATTGCGATCGAGAACCATTTTTCTTCGCGAAGCCGACATACTTGTCTAGGAGATCCTGACAACGATGCTTGTCATCGCTGAGATCAGTCAGCAGCCAGCCAGACAGATCATTTAAATAAGCGTAGAGCGGATTTAGACACGTACACTTCAGCAAACAGTAAGCCAAGTTTGATGACTGCCTCACGATATTGATCGAGCTTATGCGCGCCTTGTTTCTCGTACAGGTTGATGAGGCCCTGCCAGGCTGTTTTGTCGTTGTCCTTCACACGAATAGCTGAAAGGTAGGCCGCTTCGGCTTCACCGTTCTTGTTGAGCTTGTCGAGCGCGAGACCCAGAAAGACATTGCTAGTGGGCAGTTCAAATTAGACACGCGCAATTGGGGGGACTGAGGGGGTAAAAGTCTCAGAGGGTGAGGGGTTGAGGGGATGAAGTGATACGCACGCATGGTAAATTTGAGGGTCTCTCTGGACAATTTCCTTGGCTTTCTCAGCTGCAAGCTCGAAATCCTTCGAGTCCAGCGCCGTGCGCACTGCCTTGAGAGCCGCTTTACTTGCCATCTTAAGGCAATCGCTGCATGGCCTGGCCGGATTCCTAGGTAGCTTGGTGCTTGGTTGAGGGGAATGCTGGCGGATTTGGAGCAAGTTACTTCGTAATTGAGAAAAGGCCGGGCGGGCTGTGTGGGGAAACCCAAGTGGGAAAAGGTACGTCAGAGGTTCCGCCGGATCGCTCGTTATCGCTCTCGGTCTCGGAGCTTGAAGTAGTAACTCAATAGTCAATTACAGGAGTTGTCTTCGCTGTTGCCTGTTAACACATGTCAGTCAACCCATAGAAGAGGAAATTGTCGATACCAACTTGACGCTTGTTTGTTTCCCTGGGACTTAGATAACTTCTTTAATTCACTTGACCCCCCGGCGCCAAGTCTGTTACCGTTGTACCGTTGGCTTTGTGACTGGCGTCGCCGCCATCAACCAGCTGTTCCTGCAAGGTTAGCGCGGATACGATCGACACCTCACTTGGTCCAGTCAGTTTGCAATGACTGATGTTTGTCT